TTCGACTGGCGCGGCCCTTCAGCCCGCGCTTTTTCGATCGGAGAGGGGCTCGGCGGACGCGCGCGAGACGGCAACGTCACACTCTATACAAAATAGTATTATTTTAATTGTACAAAATTTTAACCAAAAAAATACTGTTGTACAAAATAATTGTTCAAACTTCCTAGAAAAATAATGATATCAAAAAATTGCGCCAAATAAATAAAAATGTATGCTATAAAATTTATTTCTTTTATTATTATTTAAATAAAAACATTTTAACTAAAAAAACTGTTATACAAAGTAGTTATTTTAATTTTCTAGATTCGCTTTGAGATATACTTGTTATAAAAGATTATGTAAGATGATATAAAAAAGACAATCACATATGTATACATTATAATAACTATATAAATTCTAAAGTTTAATAAAAAAAGATAATATGAAACAAAATAAAATTTTTTTAAATTCATACAAAAATTAAAAATTTATGCAAAAAATTAAAAACTTATGCGAAAATTAAAAATTAATACAAAATCAAAGAATTAAAAAAATTTAAGTTAAAAATCTTGGCGAAAAATCTTGAAATTCATTAAAATATTCCGATGAAGGTCTTCTAAGGAAATCTATAATGAACTATATTTCTATGAATCGCAGATCGATTAATAGTAAATTTTTGATTATTTATGTTTTGGCGTCTATGATTGCGGATCACTCGGAGTCGCCGCGGATCTATGCACCTGTTTATCGCTTGCCGTATCAGGTGTCATGGAATGCATCTTCCTATGCGCTTTTCTTTCATCTCGGATAATTTTATAATATTAGAGCTTTAGGATAATATGAAAAATGTATATTAATACTTATGAATATTAATTTATGGAATCACTTATTCAATTTGTTTCAAATCTGATAGTTAATTTGGAAATTATCAAGTTTTAGTATTCTCCCAGAGAGAAACGTGAAGTCGAATAAATATAGTCGACGTCTAAGATAAGTGGACTTTCGCACCTAGATAGACGTCATGGTGGCCTTTTTTAGACGTTTAATAAACTCATTTTCTGATGTTTTTTTGACGTTAAAAATAAGACCAATTACAGTGTTAATATATAATAACATATTAATGTGTAATATATGTATATAGAAAAATCTAAATAATTTAATTTATGAAATTAAAGATTTTATTTATACGGAAGTTAACTTCTAATTTTATCTTAAGTAGACAATAATGAATAACTTTCACTTATTCGGACACTTTATGTCCGATCGGGCATTTAGCTGTCCGATTTTCTAAAAATCAGTTCAATATCTGAATTTTCCTGTATCGTGTCAGAAATTAAACTGATATAAATAGTTGTTATCAATCGCCTTTTGCAGGCTTTATATACATTTTGCTATGTTCCGATTCCCTACCCGAGTGCACCCGATATTATCCCAAATAGCCAAGAATGTTAAAATCACGTTTTGCCAAAGCTTTGCGACAAGGTGTGCTTTAATTTTGACAACAATTTTGTAGCAAACATTTGTCTTGTTTTGGTTTGTCAAAAAGTTTGAAGCAAATTGACGGCAAAATTTTTCGTATCACGATGCTGTAAATAATAGGAAATGGCTTGCCCGTAAATTTTACGCATAGAAGAACACGTATGATGCTAATTCACGGTGTAACACAAACTTTACGTCAATTAGTAGCAAATCTTGTTATACACGCTATAATAGCAAATTTACGACAAGAACAGAGCAAACCTTATTGTACACGATATGATAACACATTTACGGAAAGAACAGAGCAAAGTATACTCTGGCACAACGAGACGCAAAATTCACACAAATAACAGAGCAAACCTTGCCATGCACGGCATGACAGCAAATTTACAACTTTAATTTATTATAAACTTTACAAAAATATAGTATTCTGCCGATAATTCGTTTATTCATCGCTATGCGACGCGCTATATACATCCATCTCGTATTTGATTTTTAGTCATGAGAAGTATATAAAGCTTGCAAAGAGCAACTGGTAGAAGATTAAAAATATAATTATTTCTATCAGTTCAATTACTGATACAATCCCAACATAGGGAATTCAGATATTGGACTGATTGTTCCTCTTAGATCGGGCAGATAAATGTCTGAAAAAGTTTAAATCATCCGTTTATTGTTTACTTAAAATGTTGAATAAATACAAAAATATAATAATGAGAATGAAAGAATAATGAATGAACAAAAGAAGAGAGAGAGAAAGAGAGAGAGAGAGAGAAGCGCGAATAAACGCGTAAGCGAATATGCTAAAAGAATAAAGCTAAGCGATATGCAGTACGTAGTAAGCGAGCGATTAGAAAGAGAGATAC